TGCTGGAGGTATTGCTGGGTGAAGCTGGTGGCACCTCAATGCCAGCCACCCCAATGGTGCCATGGGGCAGGAGCGGGACTAGCAGGGTGCCAGGGTGTGGGAGAGCAGCCACAGAGGTACCTTGGGTGGCTGGAGCACGGAAGGACACAGTTGTCAGGCCCAGTGGGCACAGTGTGGTGGTGGGACTCTGAGAGCTGTCGGCTGTGAGAGGCATTCAAACCCAGGGAGTGGGGCATGGCAGAGAGCAGCTGTGGGAGCGAGTGGAAGCCCATGTTTGTAGTGAGCTGTGTGGCTTGTCCTCTGTTTGACGTGAGTCCAGTTACCTGTTCTGCTGCACCACTGAGGTGGCCAAACTGCAGCCAGTGAAAGACTCTATGTTACAGACTAGCGCATCCTGGAGCCTTTCGCCTGGAGGAGAGCGCACACAGCCTGGGGCTGAGCTCCTGTGTCAGCTTTACAACCTGCCACTTGCATCTTGGTGCACTTATTTCTGGCTGAAATGTTACAGTCAAAGCCTGGAAGTCGGTCAAGTGTGAACTCATTGCCACCCCAGAAATACAGTATGAAAAACTTTGCCCAAATTCAGCTCTGGTAGGGTTGGGAATAGCACCCAGTCCTTAGTAAGGTGAATTCAAGTCTTTCCGTTCATATCGTAGTGTCTCGTAGAGTGAATCTACCTAGTTTGTGGTTGAGTCACACTGTTTACTGGCTCGTGCTTCCTTCTGAAGGCAAGAAAACCATTTTGCCACACTATTTTATTTCTGTCTGGCAATAGTTTGTAACTCATTGACAAACTATGAATAAAGTCCTCTCTAGATGCTGGACCAGAGAGGATAAACATCTCTGGACTGAAAGGATAAGAGCTTTGTAGTGGGGATATAAATACTCTGGATTCAAATTCTGCTGCTGATTTGAGCAGACAAGTCTGGACAGACAGATTTGGGGGGGGGGGAGCGGGGAGGACGCTTAGACACACTGCTTCATGAAATGTTTTCCGCTGTTTCTAAAAATATTTAAAGACCGAGAAAACAAAAGCTAAACAGACTCTGCACTTAAAATTAATTATGCATCAGCTGTGGTATGGTGTGCAGCAGAACTGAAGTGTTACACGTATGGGCCGCTTGCTGTGTCTTGGGTTTGCTGGTATAACGGGTGTGTGGCTTCGTCCAAGGGTCACACGAGACATGGTGAAGAGGCTTGGGATGACAAGAGGAGACAGAAGTGACCTGAGTTTGCCAGGGAGGTGGCAGGGGAGGAGACATGAAGAGAGAAAGGAGGAGTCCGAATGGTAGCCTCCAGCAGCGATGGGGCAGGCAGGATGGGGGAGAGGTCTGCCACATGTGGAGGAACGTGCTGGTGTGGAGTGGGATCAAAAGGGAAAGGTGGTCGATCCTGAGAGTTGTGAAAGAAGCTGTTAGGGCAGCAGCATGTGGTGTGTGTTTTGAGGGTGTTGCCATGAGGAGATGAGTCTTGTGTGCAAAGCTGTGACATAAGTGTGCAGGTGTGACGGAGCTTTAGGGGAGGAAGCTGGTCACCCACGTTCAAGGAGAGAGGAATGTAGAGCAACAGTCTGGAGGGGAGATCAGGCTTGCAGTTTATGTGTAAGGAAGCCAATGGAGGATCTTGGGTTGGAGAACATTCACTGTGGAAGATGTTTCATCACTGCAGAGATTAAACAGCATGCAGGGCACAGAGGATTTTTTTCAATGACGGTTTTGTAGCAAGGATCAAAACTGTAGCTGGGTATTGTGGGGCTTACAGAGATGCAGTAGGTTGGTCAGCCATCCACATGAAGCAAGGATGGAGATACGCAAGTTGGGTGTGGTGGCAACGGTGACAAAGACAGAAGAAACAGAAGGGGAGCTCTGGGATGCAAGAGGAGTTGGATAACTCTAGGAAGGAGACATTCTGGAACCTTTTCGCTGTAGTCCTTTGGCTCCACTCCAGCTTTTGGTCAGTCATGTTTGAATGCCCTTGTCTGTGAGCAAGCAACAGTAACGAGTTCTCATTGTAGCACATGCCCACCTCCTGCTGCGTAGGATGTTTTAGCAGCGAGGTCAGGGTAGCCATGAGAACAGGTACTGATCTCTTCCTTGCTCCTCACAGTGGTGTTCTAAGAGCTGAGCTCAGAAGCAGAGGTTGAAGTAGGCTGTGCGTATCAGAAGCTTTTCGAGGTTTTGTGGATATACGCAATTGTGAAGGTGTGCCACAGCATTTTTGGAGTGCAGCCATTGACTTTGTGATGACCAGCCAGTCTTTAGCTGCTTTCCCCACAGTTGCCAACAATCTCCCTTTTCATCAGATCCGTGGGCTACCACTTCACTTCCCTGACTTTTGTTCTCTCCAACATGGCTCATGTCAGGGAGCAGCAAGAGCAGGGCTGCTCCTCCAGGGAGGACAAGCTAGGAGCCAAAGGTGATGACAGCCACCAGTGGTGCCCTCATTAACTGAGGTACAGTCCTACCATATCTGAACAAGGCAGACAGAACAAGGTGCTCTCAACAGTCCCAGAGAAGATGAGGTGGTTAATTGGGTCCAGGGTCTACCCAGCAAGTCCAGCAGTGGGAGGTGGTGCCAGAGACAGAAATGGAGACAAGCTGCCTACAGTGTAGGTACAAGGTTTGTCCACGAGATGTGACTGAGGACAGGTGTACCTACACCTGTATGGCTCAGATGAGGCAGTATGGCTGAACCTGAGCTTAAATGAAGCTCCTGGACCGTGGGCAAAGGGTGCATGGGTGGGGGTCTGAGATGAGGCTGTTTGGGGCATTTAAAGCCTATTAGTGCACCCAGGGCCTAGACAGCTAGAAATTCCTCCTTCGTCCCTGTCCTTTCCCCCATCATACTTTCTGAGGGCCTCCTTGACCTTTTAACTCATCCCCCCCAATTTATCTCTTGTAATTTCCCATGGTGGCTCTTTCCCCACCCTTGTGTCTGGCCCTCGCAGTTCTCCCCTACAGTGGTCTGGGGTTTCTCTGTCCTCTTTCATGGCTTTCACTGCTGTGTGGAAATGGTTCCTACTGCTCCTCTTGACCTTGACTGTTCTCTCTTACTTCTGTCTTTGCAGAATTTTATGCAAGGAGAAATGTAAAATAAATGGTCTCTGTCTCTTTTTCTACTCCTCAAGCCTGTCTGCCTATACTGTTAGTGGTCATATTAACCTCACAGTCTCCTTGTTAAATTTCCTTCTTTCTTCCTGATTGCTCATTATCCAGGTTATTTATAAATCATTCCAGGCCTTCTGTTGGTGTTGTACTGAAGTCTACCTGCTCCATCGCTTCTGTTAAAAGCCTTTGTAGAGGTGCTGATCATTACTCACCTTGTCTGTTGACTTTCCCTTTCTTGCTGTGCTGCCCATCCCATTCCAAATGCAGCTGCTTAAAATCTTCTACCCACTGCTCGGACCTGATTGCTCTCAGATTTAATATCTGATGACTTATAAACTGCACAGTGTCACTTTCAAGCTCTTGCTTACTTCTGCTACCACTTCTTTCTGGTCTTTTCTCTTGCTCGGGCCTTTCCCCCTGCCCCCAACTCTCCTTCTTGGTAAAGGGCAGGTATTAACTCTTCTGCGTTTTGCATGGCACAGAGCACAATCAATAAAGGCATGCTGAGTTGTCAGGGTTGATTTTCACGTACCTTAAAGGTCCCTTCACCCTGTGCCAGACTGAACGTGCAACAGATACTGTAAGATACCTTAGAATGGTAGGGTTGGTCTTAATATAAAACGGGGCCAGGCGGTAATGCTGTCTAAGCTGTTGTAGCATAGGGTTAGGGAAATGACTTGTTTTTCTCGTAATCTCTTCAGAGGTGATCCGAGGCTGGGAGGGCACAGTGTCTTTGGCTCCATCTCATCTCAGTGCTTCTGTGCTTGCTGCCTTTGTCCCCAGGTTATCATTCCTCAAATGCTGAGCATTGTTTGTGACTGCAGCTGGCCGATGGCAAGGCTGGGAAATTTGCTGTTGCCAGCAACTCTATTTTGCCACACAGTGCCATCCCTTCTCCCCTTCTTTCTTCTTTTCTTGTGTGGCAGACCTGTGTACCTTGGGGAGAAGTCAGGGAGGAGCTATTCCAAGATCTGCTCCCAAAACACAGGGATGAAGCTCATATATCTAATAGTAATGGTGTGTTTCAAACCCATTTTAGTTGAGAAGAAGGGCATTACTCCAAAATGGCTCCATCACACTCCTTACTTGTCTGCACTCACAGAGACCCAGACTGGATTTGGTCAAACCTGAGCAAGTTACTGTGCCCATTTGTGTCCCTGACTAGGTGGGGATAACTCTCTCTTGAGCCTTCTTCAGGCGCTGCCCACCTCATTTTAAAACACTGCAGGATGGGGCCCTGTCCTCTCTCCGAAGGAGCTTTCCCAAGTCTGCACGGCTCTTGCCTGCTGATTTTCAGCACAAAATTTCCATGGCTCAGCTTCATCACTGTTCTTTTATGTGGACCTTGGCAAGCAACACCATCTCCTTCCCTTGCATCTCGCTCTGTGATATGCCTCCAGAAACCTTACATAGATTACTTGTTTTATATGCCATGTGGTAAACCAGTTTAAATCTGTCCCTGATAAACAGTGGTCAGAATTCCTTATCATGGGATGTTCCCAGCACAAATTCCTGAAATGACTGCCAGTACAGGGGAAATGTTGATTTTACTTTTTTTTCCCCTTTCTTAGAAGGCAGTCAGGATTACAGTTGGTGCCTATTGCTTTATTTACTGGCAGGCTAAGTAGAGAGCTCAAATTGAAGTAATTCTTCTTTGCCCATGTATCCTGGTAGTGGCATGTGAGAAAAAGCAGATACTTGGTAGTGAGCTTCTTGCTGTCCTGTGTCTGCTGTGTGGATAAATCATGGAATTTGGTGTTCAGGGCATCTGGTCTGGAGCATTGTGTTAGTAGTAAATTTAGGCACACACAAAATACTGCTGCTTAATTGCCAGTGAGACCTATAATGACTCATTTAATGTTTTTTTTTTCTTCTTCCTCTGCAGCAACTATAATGGAGAGACAGAAGAGAAAACAAGAAATAGAGAAAGGACTTCAGTTCATTCAGTAAGTGGACAACCTCATTGTTTCCTGTGGCTTTGGAGGCGGTTGTCTTCATATCAAGGATTGGAGGAACTGAGTTCTTCCTATTCACCACTTTGGGGCTGCTGCGTGGCAAAGAGATATTGGTCCTGAGGATTTTCACTGTGGTTCTTCAGGGTGCTTTCTGTCCTGCCATCTATCTAAACTTAAAATTGTATAATTTTAATTTCCTTGGGTATTCCCCTCCACTGCAGTTCCAGGATGATCTTTAGAGTCAGCATAATGCAAATAATACTTGGACCTTCCACTTTATCTTCAGTGTGAAGATCTCAAATTGCTCCCTTGACAAGGTTATCTCAGCTTTCTTAGGAAGAGAGATAGTGTTTCTATTTTGTAGGTGGGGAAAGCAGTGTAAATGACTTGCCAGGTGTCCATATAACGCCCATAGCAGAAATAGATGACCTGGGCTCTTTTACAGTTGCTAACCTGGTAGGTGCCTCAGGTCACTCTTCTGTGAATATCATGTGGCCTTCTAAAGCTTCAGGTTGTTGCTCATCTGGCAGCTAAAAGTCCAAGTGCTTCCTTATGAACTACAGCAGTATTTTTTCCCTCCAGTGTTTGAGTTAGCAGAGGCCTCAGACTCAGGTCTGGATTCCATGGTGAGTAAGGAAGCAGCAAGATTGTAATCAGGTTGTTTTGGTTTTTTTAAGGTCTGCTTTGAGTCCTGCAGTTGTTATGGCTGAAATCTGTGCATCTACAATAGGAAAAAAAGACAAATCTTTCATGTTGCGTATTTATATCCTGTGGCATGGCAATGATATTTTTGCCCCAGGCTGAGACTAAATGGGACTGGTAACTCAATTTCAGAGAGGCAATTGTGAGGTTTATGTACTAGAAAGGAAATAATTTAGAAATATGGGATATTGTTCGTGCTTCTGGAGTGTATCTTAAACTCCAAACCAGGGTCAGTGTCATTTGTTGGCTTGTTTAGATGTCAAAGAGGGGTAGACCAATTTTTAAGGATCATGAATGTTTCTTACAAAGCCAAGGCATTTCCTGTAGTTAATTTTAAGGAGCAGATGATGATTAGATTAGGTGAAATCTAAAAAAAGTTAATTTTCTGACCAATAAGATCATGTATACGATGTTGTATTTCAAAGGTGAGGAGGGCCATGAAAGGTACTAAGGATTTCTCTAGAGCCTATTATTTTCTCCTTGAAGAGAAAAGATAAATACATGTGGACCAAAACTGGATGACCTGGGTGGTTTGATTTGAAAAACGGCACCTTTCGTCTAAGTCTCAGTGCTGTTGTGGGGTAGGTGTTATCCACATAAGCACTGCCAGTTTTGTGGCACAGCCTAGCAGCCTTGGCCAAGACAGCTGGAGTTAAATAGCCTCCTGAACCTGCATTTTCTCCTTTCCTTTTGTGGTGTAGCCCTAAAGGTGTGTGGCTAAGTTAACACAGAGGAAGGTGATTTATCACTGTTTGTCTTTGGTCGCACAGAGGATTTGAGGAGGTCTTGGAGTGCCAGTCTGGTGCCTTTTGTTAGAGCCAGATGTACTTAAAATACACTTATATTCTCCATGACAATCTCTTACGGGACTTTCTCAAAGATGTGGCGTTTTTTAGATGGCTGGCTGAAGGCACATTACAGAGGGTCGTCTATGCACAGAAAATAGCTGAGAATAAGATTACTCTAGTCTCAAATCCCTTTGGGAACTGACCATCTCTTGACACCTCTGTGGTCATCACTGAGCACAGTGCTCCCTAATTGTGTTCTCTTTGCCCCAGCTGCTTTTCAAGTGATAAATTGTTCAGCAACTCACTGAGAGCACCAACACAGGACCAGAAAGATGGCTTCTTCAACAGACAAAAGCCTGTGTTTGTATGGATGCCTGTTTCATGAGAATTTTCTCTTCTTTTTTTTCAGGTCCACATTACCCCTAAGCCAAGAAGATTATGAGGTAATGAAGAATTTGTTTTCTGAAGTTGGGAACTCTGGTTAGCAAGATTTGTTCTGTTGCACAGCCATTAGTTTACATACCAAAAGTGGAGAGTGTGGGATGGTCTGTCACAATATGTCTGTAACTTAAAGCTTTAAGGTTCTGGCAATGACAACTTTCTGGAAAAGGAGAAGACACTTGCGTATTCAAGAAAGGAGGAGATTTGACTGGATTATTCTCCTCTACCAAAAGACCAATGTTTTACGGGAGAGCGGGGAGGCAGGAGAATCTTAGCGGGCAGGAAGCTTGCTAAAACATGTGGAAAGGAATGGGAAATTAGGAAACCTCCCCTGTCTCTGAATATCCACTTCTCTCTTTGAGTCTACTTGTTCTCTCCCTGCTGCCCAGGCCTTTTTGCAGAAGCTGGTGAGAAACCTGTTTGCAGAGGGCAATGACTTGTTTCGAGAGAAGGATTTCAAGCTTTCGCTGGTACAGTATGTAGAAGGGCTGAATGTGGCTGATTATGCAGCCTCTGACGAGGTGACCATCCCAAAGGAACTCCTGTGCAAGCTGCATGTCAACCGAGCTGCCTGCTACTTTGCCATGGTGAGCGCCTTCCCAAGTCATCCCCAGGGGCTAGGGAGGACATCATGGTTGCAGTGCCATACGATTGGAAAAGATGTCAAGAGGGGTTTCAGTTGATTTTTTTCATCTCCTTTCCCCAAAACTGGAGGAGATGATGACACACAGAGAACTCTGATATCCCCCTGCTATCACACTGTGTCTTGCGAGACTGGAGGATGGATGTGAAGGAGAGGGGGCCAGGGCTAAGGTATTGAGAATGCAGTTCTGGTCCATGTTGGTGAGGAGTTAGACCAGTCTGGAGATTGGAAAGAGCCAGTGCTTTCCAGTGCCGACTGAGTATTTCTCTGGAATACTGTTTGAGTGTTGCTCTGAAGTCTCCTGCTTCCTCAAGTGAGGAAGACAATGAGAAGGCTTTGGGGTCTTGGTGGAACTTTCAGTACACACATGGAAAAGGGTTCTGCAATACTCAGGCTCTAAAAGGCTGCATGCTTCCATTTTCTGAAAGAATCTAACAGAGCTAACACAACCCCAGAGCAGGTCCATCTTGTTTGTAATGAAGCTGAGTCCCATGAAAAAAATTAGCAAGCAGTCACATAATTAAAGACTCTTAAATGTCACATGCCCAAGGTAGAGGGGGAGACAAGATAAGGTTGCTCAAGCAGTCTTAATTCTGGTGTTCATTGACTTTGAAGTGTTTTGAGTTTTGCAAGACTTAACAAAATGTTCTATTACTGTAGGTTTTGTGTGTTTGTACACTGGTCTTTGTATGAGGTAATATATGTATTTCCAACTGCCTTTTATATTCCTGTTTTCTGCTGAGAGAGAAAACATTTGCATTCACAGAGAAAGAAGGGTTAGTCTGCTGTGCCTCAGCTGACTCGAGGTGGTCTCTTTCATGCAGGGGTTGTATGAGAAGGCACTGGAAGACAGCGAGAAGGCTTTAAGTCTTGACAAGGAGAACATCCGAGCACTATTCCGGAAAGCCCGTTCCTTAAATGAGCTTGGAAGACACAAAGAAGCATATGAGTGCAATAGCCGATGCTTGCTGTCCCTCCCACATGTAAGTTTCTGACATACAACTCATCTTGATTCTGTGGCTCACCACCTTCCTCCTCTGTAAAACATGCCTAGTGTGAGGCCAGAGGATAGCAAAAGAGGAAGCTTGGCTGTTCCTGGGAACATGATTACGCCCAGAAATTCTGTCTCTCTGACTTGAAGATGATGTTTGACCTCACATGTTTCTTCAGCCCAAGTCACCTTCTACAAACAGTGCCAGCCAGAGACATCAGTTATTGACAGTGGTTTTGGTGGCCTATTTGTGAAGAGCAAAACCCTACCCTAACAAAACGTGAACTAAGGCCATGAGATTGTTTTAATTGTCTGGTTTTCTGTGTCTAATGGGAGTAACTAGGAGCATGGGACGAATGGGAGCTGGAGCACTGGAAATAAAACATGTATACTTTTCCTGATTTAGATACAGATGTCACATGTTTTACTTGCTGATTGCTAAGGCAAGCTGATAAAGCTTTTTATTTTTTGTTGAACATGCAAAGGTGTCCTTGACGTGATGTCATAGTTATTTTTATGTTTACAGGTGTGTAAATTCATATACTGTATATGCAGTATATTCTGCATATACTAGGCCCTAGATATTTTCCTGACAATGCTTTTGTTGAGTGTCCTTTTAGGCCAAATATTGAACAGAAAACCAGACTGTGATTAGGTAGATTCTAATGAGCAGTGTTTGTCTTTGCTAAATTTGGTTCTGATCCATCACAGTAATGCTATTACAAGAAAAATGCAGCTACTTTGGCAGAAGAAGTTAACTTTCCTTTATTATTAGTGTTACAGAATCTATCTTTGAAAGCCTTGTTAGCAGGTAGTTACTCCCTTTGTATAGCTTGTAAGTTCTAGTTTCTTTGACTTGGCAGAACTGGATGACCAAAACACATTAAAGGTATCATGTTAGGGGAGTTCTAAAGAACTGTTTTTTAAACAAACCCTTTTATAAATGAAACCATCTATGTGTTCATGTAAAGCCATATCTGGCTATATTTCACATTGCAGCTGAGCCACTTGAACTTATTTTTTAACCATATACTTATGTTTACATACCTTCCATTATTATCATTACAGTCATTGTGGTCTACAAGCACTTTACCAAACTTCTCTGTCAGGAAAGTTCAGCCTTACAAACTCCATATTGAGTGATCTGCATTCCCTATTCTAAACAATTCAGTCTTGTAAATTAACATACCCTATTGCCTTGTTACCTGATTAACAGAAATCATAAACCTTCTCTGCATCAAAGGCAAGTCATGCTGTCCATCATCTCACTCTTGTTTCCATTACACGAGCTGCTAAGCCTCTGAAGCACAGAGGTACTTCCAGCTTGCACTGCCGTAACAGCTGAGAACTTTGTGGTGGTCAAAGCAGAGCATGTATTAAAACTTCTGGTGATGAAGGATCTGCCACTCAGTTGACTCACCATCTAGCAGAGTTAACTTGTTTCTTGGTGTAGATACTCAGTGCTAATAGTTTGCAGAGGTTCCCAGCATGGTCAGGTTGATACTCCTCTGTGGTATGCTTTTTTTGGTGTGGTGTGGATTTTTTTAGGATGTTGGAGGAGAGCATATCGCATGCCTTTGAGCATCCCCTCATTTACATGGAGGTAGGAAGCACCCGAGGATGGCATTTGGCTGAGGGAAGGGAAAGCTAAAGGAAAATCTTAGGGGTGATAAAGAGCAAATAACACCCCACGACAAACCTTAGGCCTGCTGACAAAAAGGACAATAATTAACTATGTATTGTTGGGAAGGGAAGTGGAGGCAGTCTAGAGAGAAATACATTCTTGATCTTGTCCAGGAATCTGAGAAGACATCTCAGAGTTATGTTGGCATGTGGAGTTGGATAGGGTAAACCTGGTAGGTACGAGTATGAGATCAATGAAAAGAAATTACATCAGAGGTCTTTCTGGTCAGTTTTCCACAGGGAGCAAGAAAATGGCAGACTTCAGAAGACACCTAGGAGGGTGTTTGGAAAGGCAGAATCACTAGAGGCAAACAGAACAATGAAAACATGATCGGTGTTACAAAGATCTGAGAGGTGGAAGAGAGTGAGGAAGGAGCAGTGACAATGAGATTTGACCAAGAAGAGGTGTAAGATGGAGAAGAGGAAATGGACAAGATAGATTTTGTCTTCACTGAGTTCAGGGAAGGTGGTGACAAGACCAGTGTTGTGGGTGTGGGGGAGCAAGTACAGTCAAAAGGTGGCCCTCCAAATTAAAAGGAAAATTACTGATACTGTGGGCTGGAAGAACCAGACACTAGTGAGGGGTTGAAACGGAAAGGATGAACCTGCAGGGAGAAGGAGGTTGGAAAGACCAGCATGGCAAGTAGAGAGAAGACAGCAAGCTTCAAGGTTGGAGATGAGGAAGGAGATACTGGGACATTAAGGAGGGATATCACAATAGGTTGGGCAGATTTTTTTTTTCTTCTTTGAAGAAACCGTTGAAATACTCCAATATTTTTGCAAACAGAGAGAGGAAAGCAGAAGGAAGGAGTTGCTGGTGATAAATAAGTGAAGAAGGTTGTGGCAAGTTGTTAGTCCAGGCAGAACAGGAGAGGATGGAGCAGAGGAATGGAGCGTGGCCCAAAACTTTGTCTAAAGCCCATAACAGTGTGTGAGTGGGCCTGGGCAGTGACCAGGGAGGATGGTTAATGACATGCAGCAGGGAAAGCAGAAGGATCTGCTTGACTAAGCTGAGGCTGTTTAACCAGATCCAGAGACAGTGAAAATGCCTTGTAGCTACCAAGTTGGAAACTGAGACTTGGTTTCAGCTTTAAAAACAAACAAGCAAAACAGGCTAGTGAATACTGTCTGCATATCAGAACTGATTATTCGCTCTGTGGCTGGTGGAGAGGAAAACTATACATGCTGTGCGTGCAGGAAGGCATGCAGGCTCTTTCTTCCCAGATATGGGGACCTTGTGGAAGCTGTATCAGCCCCCAGCCAGCCTTGGCAGCTCCTTCGGCCATCTTGCCAGTGGAACTGATGAGCCCTGCTTTTGGAGAGTGGGTGCTTTCTTGGAAGCAGACACTTGATTCTGATTTCCTGCAGCATTGAAAGAGTCGGGGGTCCTGGTGCAACCTCAGTATCTCAGCAGGACTGAGTGACAAGAGCACTTAGGTCTCCATGGACTCCTCTAGGGCTGCTCTGGCAATTGTCCACCTGCTACTGTCTACAAGTGAGGCTTCTTGGCACAGCCTGGTGTGGATAACTGCATTCCTGTTTATTTCATTGTGTGTGCCGCAAAGGCAAAACTGAAAGTGTCCTGCCAATGTTTTTTTCCCCCAGGATGAAAGTGTCACGCAGCTGGGACAGGAGCTTGCCCAGAAGCTGGGACTGAGGGTTCGAAAAGCATACAAAAGACCTCAGGTATGACTTTATTTTTCTTAGAGCCTGTTCTTCAGCTCTTTCAGATTTACCTTTGCAGAAGTGGTAGGTGCTGCTCTGCAGCTATAGGTATCACAGTATAGATCACACTACCCTGTGATCCCTCTAGCAGGCCGCTGGGCTACCCTCCTTGTCCTGACCCTCTGACTCACTTTGCCGTGATCCATTTCTAACCCCATTGCTGCTCTGTGTCTACTGCCGGGATGTTTTTCCTGTGTCCCCAGCTAAGCTGGGCAGAGCTGGGCTGGGTGCTGCAGGAGAGGCCTCTGATGCAAGGGGAGCCTGTGTTTTTTGGGAGGAGAGGGACATGTGGCCTGATCCCAAAGGAGGTTTTGCATCACAGTCCTTTCCCTGTTATGGGATGAGAAGGGTGAGATCCTCTGCTGCCTTGGAGGCAGGGCTGGTTTTGTAGCGCAATGGATCATGAAAGGTTCCTGCCCCATATCTAGGCATACACCTTCTTTGTGGTGGGGGAGAGACCTGCGCCTTGGGAGAACAACAGGTACGCGTCGGGTCAGATGCTAGGAAAAAAGGCAGCAAAAAATGAGTTGTGGATGCAATTAATTGACGCCAGTGGCTGGATCCGTAACCTGGCTGTAGGAGGAAGTGCTGCCGTGAGGGAGTACTGTTGGTGTTGAAGTGTATACCCTGGGATGGAGCTAGAGGGCGTGAGGCCACTGCTAGCGCTCCGCTAAAGCTGCCTTGGTCACCTAAAATCCCAGGATGTGTTCTCAGGAGTAGGGACCATGAGCTAGTAGTCGGGGCTTACGTTTGCATTCTCATCCGCGGCCCCATGCGCAGCGGTGCGTTAAACAGCCAGCATGTTCCGTCTCCAGAGGGGCACCTTTGCAGTGTGCGGTGAAGCGACTGGTGGGCACCCAGTTTGCAGAGAGCTTTTTGGGGTAAATTTGGCTCTAGCGTCTTACTCCTCTCCCTGACGAACCTCACATATGATTGGCCTACCCCAAAAAAACCCTTGACATTGTAGCAGCTCTCAACACTCTGACATTATTCTTCCTCAAGGAAAGGGAAGTTCTACAGAGAAATACTTTTTGTAGTCACTGTGTTGGCCTTGCTACCTTTTTTCTGCTGTCATGTTACTCTGCTGTAATGGACTTAAACCACCTGTATGTTAGAAAAATAAACATTAACAACTCCAACATGCTTTTTATTATTTGAAACTTAGTGATCAGTATTTTGGTAACGCCTTGCTATCTCTTGTGTTGACTTCCAGCTTTCATTCCAGTGCTGTAATGCCTTCCTGAAGCAGTAATATCTTAATGAAAAGGCAAAAACTTGTGTTCCCGAGGGAAATTTTTTGCTTCCTTATTGTGTGTTGGATGTTGGGTTTCCAGAGCAAATATATGGTCCTTTCAGTGTTCAGAAAACTGTACTCTTGTGTCACAGTCGTATGCCTTTTGGGGTGGCTTTTACTTATGGACGGTGCCTGGAAGGAAACCGTATTGTAACCCAGCTTTGCCTAGTTTACAGGCATTCACGGGCTGGCTCTGTTCTAAGATCTCTCTCTTC